GATCTACGGTAGTAGCAGCCTGGAAGTGACTAAAGGCCATCACCACGGCGTTCAACATGTTCGAGATGTGGAGCGCGGTGAGTTCCAAGTTGGAACACTCCGCGACCTCCTCGGGCTCGCCGTTACCTTTGACCTCGCACGCACCGCAGACGCCCCATACCTCGTCCGGGAGCATAAAAGGTAACGAAAAAGCTCCGTTATGCTTTCTATCTGTGTGTCTATATAATAATAATAATAATGATAATAATACGTGTGCTCTTGCGTACGTGTGTGTGTAAGTATGTCGTATATAGAAACGTTACGTTCCCACGACGACGATTGTATACGCGATCTTCGAAGGAAAAAGAATCACGCGTGTACGGCTCGTGATGGCCTAACGTGAATTTTCTAATTCCGCTCGTGTCGGAGAACCGTTGCACGGGGCCGAGCGGAATTGCCGTGAACCGAGTTTACATAACGTCCTTTTCAAGAATAATACGCTCCTGCGTAGCACCTCAGCTTGTTCCCTGGCTACTGTGTGTACATAAGAAGATACGGATGTGTGCGTGGTTTCTTTCTTTCTTTTTTTTTTTTCTTTTTTATTTCTTCTCGTTTCTAAATAGAGAGAATTCTAAATAGAGATTAACTCGAGGAATCGACGAGGTGGTTTATTGGCATTGTGTGGTTTTTGTCTCGAGATAAGAATTGCGTTTTCTTTGTCTCCTCCTCTTATTGCTTTTCTTTTTCGCGAAATTTTTAGATATAAATATGAATACCGAAGTTTTAAAGCGTTCGCGAGTTAGAATAAAAATATTTCAAATTTTTCATATATTTCGTTGCTCGACTCCGTTGTCGTTCGAGAATCCACCACGATAAACTCGTAACGCACTTACGTAACGCACTTTTCGCACGTTCAAAGTTCGCGAACCTGCAGAATTTGCAGCGAGTGGAGGAGGGATTCGTTGATTCCGCGCGCGTCCGACCGTTCACTTTACACGTGGGTTTTACTGGCAGTAGATTAGACGATTCGTCGCCAGACACCGAAAATCCACGCTTAACTTTAACGACGCTCCTTAACGATCGCTAACTCGAAAGGTAAATTTTAGCTTGGATGACGTTCAAAGATAGAAAAAAAAAAAAAAAAAAAAAGAAAAAAAGAAAGGAAGAAGAAAAAAAGAGAGAATCGTGGAAAGGAAAAGGAGAAGAGATGAAATATTCTTATTAATTCGTATTCGCGCGAATCCCATTCGCCACCGCTTTCATAATTTCAATACGAATCCAGCACTGCGAAAGTTTCGCGGTGAAATTTCGCAGAGCTGCTCTCCAACGGTGAAACATTGAAACGTCGTTTTACATTATTTACACGGTGCTTTCGTCCCGAGTTAATTTCATTACGCGGCTCGCGTCCGCCCGGCCGGGTTACGTCATCGGGCAGCCGTTCGTCCGTACCCATTTTTGAATTTCCCGCGTTTTTTTCGAAACCCGTCCGCCGCCACTTTAATAATGGCCGATAAACGGGGCCGAATCGTAAACAACGGAACGATGTTCGCCAATGATTATACGATCCTGTTATCGCGCAAGATTGGCGGGATTGATCTCGAACATCGGCCCTACGATTGATGCGGCACCCGGAATGATCGGCCAATCAGATAACGCCGATATACGTGCGCCCGTTAAATATGTATCGCAATTCACGCAAAGCACGTCGAACGATCGTTAACCAAAGATTTGCGGCGAATTACGATTTAGGTGAATAACGATGGGTATCGTATCGATTCGAATGATCTTGGGAGCAATTGAATCCCGGCTGATACTTGGCCTCTCCGTTATTTTCTTATTATTATATTTTTAATTAAGAGGAACACTTTATGAAAAATATACGATAAACGAGTGGGAAGAAGAAGAGGAGGAATCTAGTTTCGTTCGATGGAGATTGATAACGTTTATTTAAAAAAAAAAGAAAAAATTGGGAGGATTGAAGATTCTAGATCAGATCACGGATAAACAAATAAAAGATTATATTGTCGCGTTTGTTGTACACTCTTCTAGATAGTTTCTATGGGAGGATCGTCGAAAAATGTTTATATTAATGTTCATTGGTGAAAATATTCCAGACAAAAAGAGAGAGAGAGAGAGAGATACAGAAAAGGAAATCGTTTAGAAACCGGCAGCAAGGATACGCTGAAACGTTTCAAAATTGCTTTTACGACGTCGCGAATCGCGCACCGTGCCGAATACAAATACACACTGGAAAGCACAGATTCGTCAAGCGTGTCACACGAGTTTCTTTTTAAAAAATCGTCTCTGAAACATCGAATCATCCTCCTTTTTTTTTTTTCTTTTTTTTTTCTTTTTTTTCGCTTTCATAATATTCTTTGTGAAACAAAAATCAAGCCTTACTCCTTATCCCGAAAATCGTCGAAATAATTCAAAATAATCTCGATAATTTTTGTTTAAAAAAAAAAAAAAAAAAAAGAAA